CCTCCTCAGTCCAGATATGGTCACTTCCGTTCATGGTCACGAAAAAACCAACATAGCGACAGACGTAATCCAAGATAGCGGCGGTAAAATCGCCAAACACAAGGCTTCATAACGGCAGTCCACTAATGGGTGACGTCATCATCACTACGTCCACTTCTTCTACTTAATATACAATCCGTGGTCAAGACGGGAGAATAATTGACAGACACTGGCAAATGCTGTTTGTTCAAAGACCCAAGTAGTTTGGAAGGTGTAGAAAACAAGTCCAATAACACCAAATATAGGATGCCATTTTTTATACTTGACATGAGCAAAAATGATGAATAATTATTTATATTCAAAATATGTTTTTTTTCATTCAAAATAAGCAATACAAACACACGTCAGCAGTAACTAAAGCTACGTATTTGTTCTGCTTCTCTGCAAAGTATACATTTCACGACTGCTTCTACTGCTCTTTAACAACTGTGTGTCCTTTTCCGACTTCTACACCATGTCCTGCTTCATGCTTTTGTGATGATATATTTTAGAGTCTTTTGAAACACCTTGGCTAGAGACTACAGATAAAAAAAAAAGACTTTTGGCTTCATCAAATATTATTTCATACCAGGTGTTTTTATTAGTTTGCACTTGTCAAATAAACTAAAAATCACAATCCTCCTGTTACAGATAATAATATGATCCTAAAACTCTCTTTGGTCCAATATTTAAAGTACTTTTTTTATTATTTTTACTTAAGTAAAATAATATTGAATATATTCACTGTACAGGAAGTCTTGTGAAGAAACAAACGCTTCGGTTAAAGCTGTTCATGTGCTGAACTGGTGCTGTCATGGAGTGAACATTAAACAATTTAAAAAGGTAATTTATCATTTTTTTTTATAACTCTAAACGTTTTATTGTTGCTTTTAAACTGTTAAAAGTTTTCAGTTTGAATGTTTATATGGAAGACTTAGTTAGCTGCTGCTAGCTAATGTTACCAGTAAGAGCTAGCTAGCGCCTGGCTAAGATATGTTTGAGCTTGCTAGCTTTAGCTTGTTTAGTTAGCTAAGTTAGATTCATGCATAACATTTTTAAATTCATTACACATTGTGTCCAATGTCCAAACTCTCTGCACTAAAAATGCCTGATGTGTAAAGTATCAGAATCACTACGAGCAGTAATATTAATGTTGTAAATGCTGTTAGCATTTAGCGGAGCTGGTTAGCTCACTGTAAGTTAATCAGACGGTTAATATTAACACCACAGAGGTGGGACGTTCTGGAGGGGAAATAACTGAATCCTTGAATCCTTGAATTTTTCCTTTATTATTATTTGCACTTTGCTTGACTTTAGGTGGAGGAGAGCAGCCCTGCATGTGTGTCCATCTCATGTCGGTGTCAGCCATCGCATCATCACTGGTGAGTTTGTAGTTGCTGGAGGAGACAATAGGTGCACAAACTAGGGCTGTGAGATCTGGCTAAACCATGACAAATCAAAATTGTACTTTATGTCCATGGCACCGTGTCCTAACGCAGCGCGCCGTTAGGACTGAGCTGAACTTTTGTCGGACGCCCCGGTTTCCATTTATTTTTCTCACTCGCTTTGAAAGCGCCGCAATGGACGAGAAGCGTCTGACTGGTGAAGTTTGAAATGAGGAGTTATCTCCTCATTTCAATACCAAAACCTGAATAAGGTGGCGGCTGGCTGAAGGGAGAGTTTCCTACTTGCTGCTGACTCTACTGTATGTTATTTACAGTACATGTGACAAAATAAAACTTAAAAAGTACAACAGTCAGAAGACAGCATGTACTACTCACTACTCTTTTTAAACTATTTTTAAATTTAGAATATACGTTAACAGCCCTGGCACATGTGCACTATATTAGTTATTGAGATTTAAAACACACACACACACACACACACACACACACACACACACACACACACACACACACACACACACACACAGCTAAGCTAACATTAGCTAAGGTTAAAGTTAAACTTCCAGACTATCTGTTGCTCAGCGCTGAGCTATTAACTAAATGATTATCAAATAACGATGTGGTATTCTTAGCTTGAGGTGTAATTGAAAGATTACTGTTACACACAACGGCTAAAAGAGCATGTTCAACCCTACAACAGGTACGTTTAATTTGGTAGCCTTAAAGCTCTCAAATATTCAGAAGCATTCGTTAGTTTATAAAATCTGCCGTGAGAGTTCAGGAAGTCTGAGAACTTTACCTTCATCCGTTATATGAAACGTTACTGAGAAACAAGGATCGAGTTGAAATGCAAATGGGAAAAAAACATGATCCAAGAGCATTCAACTACTGTATGAAAATCATTTTTAGGTAAGTTAAATGTTACATTATTAATATAGCAAATATATTTAAAACATCTTTGAAAAGTTGATTATCAGTCCCAAGTCTGATTAACACAGAGATGGATAGATACTGCAGATATTATAAGATAGGTATTATATATTACATTGTTGACATTGTTAGATAGATATTGATACATTTAGATAGATATTGTATATTA